CTTGTTCAACTGCTTTTTCATACCATTCAACTGCTTTTTGTTCATTCTTTTCTACTCCAGTTCCATATCTATAACATGTACCAAGATTACATTGAGCACTGGCATGTCCTTGTTCAACTGCTTTTTCATACCATTCAACTGCTTTTTGTTCATTCTTTTCTACTCCAGTTCCATATCTATAACATAGACCAAGATTATATTGAGCACCAGCATATCCTTGTTTAGCTGCTTTTTCATACCATTCAACTGCTTTTTGTTCATCCTTTTCTACTCCAGTTCCATGCCTATAACATATACCAAGATTATTTTGAGCACTGGCATATCCTTGTTCAGCTAGGATGTGGTATAACACATATTGATTCCTGTTTTCCATTTTTGTATAGGCAGCATAAAAACAACTAGTACTTGTATATCGAAAATCCGTATCATTAAACTTTTACCAAATATACTTCGATGTATATTAGTATTAATATGATGTATGTCAGCGACTAGGAAAAATAAAAATACGCAACATTCCGAGATGTAGTGTAACGTGAAGTTGATTAATTAGGTGTAATCAATTAGGAGAATACTATTTCTCACAAAGTGTGAATTGTCTTGATGGATGGTGGTAATTTACTTGATTAAATAAATCTACTGTACTAGTACTAGCCTTAACTTTTTCTATTTCTGCTACGTGCAAATTTTTGTGCATCACACCAACGGACATAAGAATAATAGAGAAGCTCAACACACCGTAATAATTTTTCACAGATAAACTAGATCAGGAAAGACGATATTGCTGTGAGCATTTTATTTGCAAACGAGGCCAAAGTTATTTGGGGCTTCGCCCGCTTCCCGTTTGTATGTCATATGATCAACTTTTCTATATGGTCATATGATAAAGAATTTGTAGTATATTCGTACGTTTGGTAAGAATTTAGTGATGGTGATGTTATATAGGAATTATTTATTTAATTCGTATACGGGTAACTTATAAATAGTTTCTACAATTGAAATTTTTGACTTGGGTTTTGCTTTGGTCTTTCGTTTTTTGGCACTGTGATGGATTCTGATGTCGAATTCTGCAAGTCGTATGGTGGGACCAGTATCGGAGATATATATGGTAGATTTTAAGGTGCTGATTGTTCGTAGCCAGCTCAGCTTCGTGCGCGTGGAATACCTGTCTTTTAAGAAACATTGCACTTAAATGTGTGAATCCGGACCGTCTACGTGAATGTTTCGCGCTATTCCGACATAAACAACATTCCTTGACACATGCAAGAGACCTGTACAGGTAAAAAGAAAGATTTCTTCGAGAAACACTGTAGGCAACAGGATAGGATTATAGAGGATGGGATTAGAAGAGACGGGTACGACTTTTGAAAAAGATTGTTGATTTATGCATTAGGAGAGTAGCCTAAGAAAAAGTACAATGAAGAGAGGCGTGAAAAGTTCGAAAGGGTATGAAGAGTTTTGGGAATTTTGTGCGATTCGAAAAATCAAGCAGACACCATGGAAAAGAGTATAGGGAAAGGATTGAAGAATATGCATGTATAACTTAATGTTCTTGATTCTGTCTAGGATGCTCGATTCAACGGAGTAACTAAATTTTTAAGTTGAGACTGAAGACAAATGAATGCAATACGGGGCTTTATTTTTTCCGGTGAGTAAAAGATAGAGTTATAAAGTGGCGAAAATTAAGAGTGGCGTTACCCGCATACTGTATCTATATTTAATAACATAGGGTGTACCTACATTCGCAGTTAAAGCTTTACTCTCCGTATACCACTGTCTGCTTGATCATAGTCATTCCGTCGCGTACGCTTAAAGACATACGCAAGACAACACTACGTCAGGATCATTATTTCCACAGCACGGCACGGGTCATTGCTTCCACAGCACGGATCATTATTTCCACAGCATGGGTCATTGCTTCCACAGCACGGGTCATTATTTCCACGGCATTTCCAACCAGGTGTTTATAAAGGAAAAAAAAGGGCGAGAGAGCTGCGTCTGATTATCGGAATCGGATCTTATTCATTGGCAGCATTGAAGAAATTGGCACAGAAAGAACTGATACCAGCAAACGATAGTATAATCCATATTTTGGTATTATCCATAGCCTTTAACGCTGTGGTGATGAGTTAGGCATAGCCTTATTGTAGAACATTGGATGAGAATGAGTGATTTAGTGACGGTGCGTTAGTATAAGTATGCTACAATTACAGTTCGGTTTGATACGCACCTTGGACGAATACAATATCATCGTTAGATCAACATGCATCTGCTTTCTTGCAATCGATGAGATGAAATGAATACAGCGCCACACGCCGCCACAGCGCTCTTTAGTTGATGTTCATGCGTGCTATTAATTAAAAAGGTTGGTACCTTTCGTTAACAGTCCGTGATAGATTATTCTCCATTTATTGTTATCTTAATTATTTATAATATTAAGTTCAGCAGAATGGACGGCGATCGGCACAACGTATTCGGTGCGAAGAGGACAGGAGTAGATACATTAGACTTTGCCCGCGGTCATCGAGTGAACGCGATCTGGCTTTCGTATCTACCATGACGAGATCCCATCCATAGCCGACACTGATTGTTTTAATCGAACAAGAGTATTATTCAGCTCTTCAACTTTTATATACGTTCTACAACGACGATCAGATTCTGTAATGACAACAGGCACAAATTGTATGCGCAATTCCGTGAAGGTGGTACATGAATTGCATGTGAATGCAGGATTGTGAAGATTCTATAATCTCGAGATATTATGCAAACATTGAGCGTTACACAGCCATCCGACTTTGTTAGTAATTCTTTCCGCCATTTTTCAAGAAAGTATTGGGTCTATACGAAGCTCATATTGCGTGATGGAAGCGAATCTAGAGGTAAGAATTGAGAGAATATTAGGTTAACTTGCTAAGAATTTATGAACCCTGATTAGATTTAACTGGCTGACTCATACGTACGACTTTATCAAGTCAGGCGATCGGCGCGTCAAGCTCATTCAACTGGACGAATTATACTGAACGAAGATTCGCTATGACAATCAACGCTTTCTGACTGAAATGCGTCGTAGTTCTTGCAGTGAAGTGGTCCCGTTAGACACATTATAGGCTATGTTATCAGTATTGAATCTTATCAGACAAATGCGGACTTCCGCCAGTACTGTATGTCAATCGGGGACTTTAACCCACGCTTTCGTTCTAGCAACTTTTTATATTGTTGTAATTTATAGAGGAATTGCGAAAAAGATTTTATAATACGCCTTGTTACCAGGTGTTTCATATTGTGGAAGTACAACGGGGGCAGAATTTGGAGAAAGACAGATTAGCAATAAAATACAATGAATAAGGCTTAGTGTATCAAAGCCAATGAATATATAGAAGCATGCCGCCCACCAGTTTCACTATCACCTAACACTTAAAATTCTACTCTTTTTAGCAAGTATCATATAACAGATAGATATTGGACGAAATATCCCTTTCTACATATAATCCCTTTCCGTAAAGCCCATCTCATACCGAAAATCGATCTTCAGACTTTTTAATGCCTAGATGCTTCTCCGGTCCCCTTGTTCCGCTGATTTTTTCAACTCGCAACTCGGGAGCGTACCCTTGATCACGCATTCTGGATATGTCTTTGCCTGTGCGAGACCAAATCTCAATTTTGCTGCAGCATCTTCTTGCGCCGAGTTTTCAAAACATCATATTAAGCTTTGTCATCCGTTTACGCACAAAGTAGTTCAGTCCATCACAACTTGGATTCCAAATCCGATGTAACGGTTTAAAATGTCTGGAATCGAAAACGTAAATTGCATTCGAGATTCGGTAGAAGGGGAACAGTCCCAAACTGAGATACAATAGCAACTAAACGCACTCATCTGGACTGGTGTGGTTGAAGTTAAGGGAAAGTAGTGCTCAATATATAGTAAGAAGTGAATTCGAAATACTCTTGTTTGTCTTTCTCTTCTCCGGTTCCTGACAGATAGCATGTGCCGCAGTGTAGTTTTGCGTTTTGAATATTCCTTTGCACACCCTCGATCTCATTCTTTTCTCGTGAGACGCATGCCGTTGGTGCGAATTCTAATTTGTTTGATTTTCCACATCCGGATCAATATCAGGTACAGTGTCGCGCGCTCGTGCATGAATCAAAATGTTCAATCGTCATCATACGCAGCCCTATTAGAATATGTGGCTAGACTTTGCGATATTACTTTGGTCTAAGCAGGCGGTAGAACACGCGATTATGTATTAGAACACGCAATTATGTATTATCAACAAAAATTTCTTTGCCCACTTACAAGTCATGAAATATATGTGTTACTCTCATCTGATTCCCCAAGTCTTTGGATTCAACATATTCCCATATCATCTTCTACGTGCTGAGAAACTCCTGTAAGACAGTTTTCCGAGTCTAAAAGTGAATTCGTAGTTCTGCATATGTAAAAATCGTTGACAGCGTTTGATAACACATGGACGTATAGTTACCTTCCAAAAAAACTGAATGTCTCTTTCAAGGGGGTAACACAGTCTAGTCTGTAGATAATACAAATTTTATTATAATTCCGCTCATAGTCACAATATTGTCATCAAATGACATTCACGCCTCGCGAAACATGTTTTTCATCTGATTAAAGTTATAATCTCGGAGCCTAATCAAATCAAACAAAAATAGGAGGTAAAGTGTGTTAGGTTAATTGATTTTCATTGCACTACGATTTAAATCAAAATGTAAACGTACAATTGACCAAAACTAATAATATCACGACTAATAGTTTGTTCGTGCATAGTATCCCTTGGTAGTCTTACTCACGGGGGTGCTGGAAGCATCAGCCACCTCTTGTCCAGTGGATTAGTTGGAATCCTGGCCTCGTAAATATTGCGTTGGGATGTCTTCGAAACTATTGTCATCGAGCAGTCGTCTGGAAGTACGAAGTACGATATCATAACCAGTTTCAGGCATCAATTTTCCTCATGGAAGCTAACTGCTGTTTCTTGGCTCCTTTCCGAGCCGACTTTTGCTAATCTGTCAAATGGGACCCTAGCATTGTAAAACGAAAGGTGGTTTAGGAGATGCCGATGATTGACGAGATACTGATGATGGAAGATGCCGACAATTGATCGAGGTGAAAAGACGCACTGACGATTTGAAAAGAACCGGTGTGTCGCGAAAAGGACGTTTTATTTCTTCGCAGTCTTGACGGTTTTCGTTAAAACGTAATTTCCGGTGGACGAGTGTCTGATAGAGAAAGGGATCTCTTCCCACGTTCCTATCACGTTTTTGAAAGATTGGTGGAACGAAAGTAACTCATGAACCAAACGCTCGCGTCAGGATAGTGTACGAGCGGCATATGTATTATTGTTGCATACATGATAACTGCAAGATTAATATATTGCCGTAATCATTTCCGGCATTCTAAGCCTTCCCATGGCTTCCGTTCGATATCACGTCTCTTGTCTCCAGTCATCGAGTTATCTGAAAAAGGACAAAGAATTAATATTAATATTAAATGACTTGGGTTAATCTAATCGATGAACAACATTTCCATATATCACCATCCAATTACCTTAGCAACCAACGATTTTATTATTATCAATTCCTCTCGCCTAAATTGCGTGCAAGTGTTAGTGCTGGTACTATAAAATCGCACATTGTAAGCTTATTTAACCCTACCCTTTGTCGACATTTTTTTCATCAAGTCCATTCATTAGGAATTTATTTAAATAAGGTCCATCATTGACACAAATAAATTTCAACCCGACCCGCTTTCGACTAATGGAATGAAATTCTTCTTCCAATTGCCTGTTAACGAAGGAGTAATAAGCAATAAGTCACAGATATTTGCGCGTCTCTTCCTCGCTTCTATCAAATGCCTTACTGAAATTCAGCCCAAGTCTTTCGATTATTTCGTCATTTCCATCCGCACGGTGGAACCATGAATGTGCGACAAATATCACGTGTTTTTGTAGCTTCTCCCACGAGAATAAAGACCTCGAAACTCAATATTAGCTGAGAACGATACAAAACGAATTCTTTCGTTGCATTCTGAAAATTCTGAAACCGGGCTCGCCCCAATTTTTGGATGCCCAATTGTTTCATGAACTTTCGGGTCGCAACCATACGGAATAAACAAACCTTAAATTTTGTGTCTAAAAAAGACATTTCACTCGATATTTTTTATTTTCACTGGGATTGTTACACTCTTTTGAATA